TTGCACTGAAGCACCGCAGCAATTTCCTAATGTTGTAAACCTCAACATCTGGCAATAAACCCCATTCTGATTCTGATTCTGATTCTGATTCTAAAATCATTGGACTGCCTGTCAGAACTATGGCACAGGTTTTCAGCCAACAGGGCCTTAGACAGGCAGCCAAAATCATCAGTGACCCCTCTCACATTTTTCACCCCGCATTTCAATGGCTCCCCTCTGGGCTACGCCTCTGCTGCATTTCCTGCAGGACTGAGAAGAGGAGAGCCACCTTTGTCCCCAAAGCCACTCTGCTTTTTAACTCCAGCCGATAAGAACATTTCCCACACCCATAAACATAAACTACTCTACACTCTTTTTATACTGCCGACACTTTTGCCGACTCACTTTTACTCACTTACAGTTATTTATTCACCTTTGAGTCACTTTAATTTTAAAACTGTGTAATTTTAAAACTGTGTATATACTGTATATTCTGTGTATTTATTATCTCATTCTTATTGCCTGTTTATGCCCTGTCCTGCTGCTCTGTTGTATGTTAATTGCCACTTGAGGATAAATAAAGTCTTTCTGATTCTGAACCTTCACAGACATGGACCAGAGACACAAAGACACGTATTGAACAAATGCTTATGTTGCCACACCCGTCTTTTCTCTTTACAACCTCCCCAAAGTGTGCAGCTTTGCTTTCAGGTCCAGAACATATTGATTCTCTTGTTTTAGCTGGGCTTAGAATTTCTGCCTAGTTTTCGAGTCCAACACCCACTGTGGCTTCCTGCTGAACAACAGCTCAACCAGATGGCAGCTTGGCTCGCTGGTCTAGGGGTATGATTGTCGCCTTGGGTGTGAGAGGTCCTGGGTTCAAATCCCGGATAAGCCCAATGTTTTTTTTCCCCCAGGTGCTGGATTGGTAGCTGCCCACTGCTTCACTAAGTGGATGGGTTAAATGCAGAGGACTACAAAATCTCCGAAGTGTGGGACTAAGGGATTTAAAGGGAGAAAATCATGTGATGGGCTGGGGCACCTCGCACAGCAAACAACAGAGGGTGTAACCAGTGATCCCAATTGCGTTCATCCTTGTGAATGAACTTACACATTATGTCTGATTCAGCTCCTCCACCAGCCAGTCAGTCTGAGGGTGGCAGATGCTGGTACGACAAATCTAATGCCCAATAATTCGTACAGCTGTTTAAGTGTGCACGGCATGAACGATGTGCTCTGGTCAGGCATTATCTCTTTTGGGATGCCGACTCACGAGATGACCTGAAACAGCCATAATCCATCAGAACTAATACAAAGTGATATCCACGTGCTCGCCGGTGAAATGGCACAATGAGGTCCATGCCAATGCACTAAAACCGGACATCCATTAATGGTAAAAGGCATAAAGGCACTTTTGGAATGGCTGGTTAACCAGCTGACACTCCGGGCAGGACACTCACCACCGGAGCATATCGGCGCAGATGCCTGGCCAATAAAATTGGGCCATTATTCACTCCAGAGTTGTCATTTCCCATATGTACTGCCATAGGGTTATAAGATAAGATAAACCTTTATTAGTTCCATGTGTGGGAAATGTTTTGGTCACAGCAAAAAGTACAAGTTAAGAGCAGTAAAAAATAGAATAGAAAAAAATACAGTAGAATAAGATAAAATAAAATAATATACTATACAAAATAGAATAAAATACTATATGTAATAGAATCAGTACTATACAAATTGAATAAAATACTTTGTTATATTGGGAAAATTGCACTTGGTACTATTGCACATCAGGAGGACAGGGCAAAAGTTACTATTGTGTATTGGATGTGTATGTGTGTCTGTCTGCACGTGTGTGGTCATCTGTAGACCATGTTGTAGAGTCTGACAGCAGCAGGGAGGAAAGACATGCAAAATCTCTCTGTCCCAGATCCGCAGCCTGCCACTGAAGGAGCTGCTCAGTGCTGTCAGAGTCTCCTGCATGGGGTGGGAGATCTTTTCCAACAGGGATGACAGCCACCATTCTCCTGTCACTCACCACCTCCACTGGGTCCAGAGGGCATCCTAGAACAGAGCTGGCGCTGCAGATCAGCCTGTTCAGTCTTCTCCTGTCTCCAGCAAAGATGCTGCCACCCCAGCAGACCACACCGTAAAAAATGGCCGAGGCCACCACAGCGTTATAGTAGGTCTTCAGGAGTGGGCCCTTCACTCTAAGTGACCTGAACCTCCGCAGCAGGTACAGCCTACTCTGCCCTTTCCTGTAGAGGGTATCTGAATTGTGAGTCCAATCAACTTTATTGTTCACATGAACACCAAGATACCTGTAGCTATCCACAGCATCAATGTCCATACCTTGGATGCTTAGTGGTTGCAGTGGAGGATGTTTGTGTCTGATATATATATGTTGTTATTATT